CAATAATTATGACTAGTGCACTATTAAAAACCAAAAATGTATCTTATTCAAAAAGATGTAACTTTTCAATGTGAGTTTACATTGATACTAATTGCAAAAAAGTAGAACTTCACACCAAATAAAGCAATTTCCAACATTTATATCTGCAAGGACTTCAATGAGACTGTCTGTGGAAGAGCAGGGAATCACTGAGAGCAACTTGTAGGTTTCCACATTTAACTGTACATGTTGAAATGTTCAGGATATTTTCAGTTTCATAGGATAATGACAATGGATGCTGCCAGTTGTGCCATATTTTGAAACACAAAATCTGTGCCACTGTCTAGTCATGATATCTGTATCAGGAATTAAGTTGACATTTATACAGAACAAAAAACAAAATGCTACTAATTCAAAAATAAAATTAGAGAATGCTGGGAATAGTCATCGGAGTAAGCAGCATCTGTGGCAAAACATGTCAACATTCAGATCTTAATCACCTCCTTAGAATATCTGAGGAATCAAGCAAGATCTAAAAGTTTAGGAGAAATTCCAGTGTGTTCATTATTGTATATGTCCCCTACTCTTGAATGGTGCAGCCTGAGGTGGATATTGGGACATAGGCCTCATTCCATTGGAACCTGCCAAGCACAAACAGTGTTGTTGCATCTTAGAAAATAACTTGGGGAAGGGATCAGGAGACCAGAGGCTGGGAGGTAGAAATAGGAGGCTGATAAGGATATTCAAAGGAGACATCAGGGATTGGACAATCAGAGGTCAGGCTGGACAGAAGGCCAAGAATACGAAGCTGGATTGGTCGGAGCAACAATGTACAAGAGTATTCCTTCTCCCAGCTCCATATTCAGTTTTTTAAAAAAATCAAAAGTTAATATTTTGGTAGCAAATGGTCCCACATGCTGGCTTTTACTAAGTGCAGCAAGTGCAGGTGTCACTGGTCAAAATCTTGTGAAGTTCCCAGGAACCGTCAACAAGAGGACAGAGGCACTTAATTGAAGTGAAGGCAAAGTGTTAGCTTGCTGATGTGGAATGGAAGTTGTGTATTAATTTGGTGGCAGATTGAGGGCTGACCATGCTCCCTAACAGATACAGCCAGGACCTCGTTTTAATTCATTAGCATGTCATGCATGCTCATTAAGAATCAAACTTGCAAGATTAAATTTTTCCCTTGGAATGAAATATGCAACAAGTGAAAATAACATTTGCATTCAGATTAACGACTGGTTAAAGATGCTGTACAGTAGATAAGGCAGTTGTCATCATGGATCTTTACTGAGTAGATCTTGGATAGGGAGCTCTGTTGAAACAGGACCGAGGAGAAGGTGGAGTCATATTGGACTCAAAATATTAACTCTAATTCTCTGTCCACAGATGTTGCTAGACCTGCTGAATTTCTCTATTACTTTCTACTTTTTTTTTAATTCCAGGGAAAAGGAGGCTTTGATGCACTGAAATTGGGTGGCAGCTGGAAATGGGAAAGGGTAATGACTGACCAGGGTTGGGGAAAGAGTAAGTGGGAAGGAGGGACAGAGGTGGGTGAAAGGAGAATGGGGCATGGGTGATTGCAAGAGGGAGAAAGATTGTATGCCTACAAAGATTCATAGGAGACAGAAGGAGGGTGTTTAATGGAGGTCAAGGATGAAGCAAGCATGGTGGCGTGAGATTGAGGGTTATACAGGGAAGGTCTAGGAGTAGAATAAAACAAAGATCAAAAGGTTAAATATGAAGAACTGATAGACAATGCATGCTGGGAGGTGACCAGTGATGATGGGAAGAAGCTCTGGGGTCAATGAAAGTTGATCAAGTATGATAGGGCACATCACTGTAGAAAGAACAAGAGCGATAGAGTAACATGCTAGACAGGCCCAAAATCCCTTCATTGCATTCAGATTGCAACCAGTAAGATCTCATGATCTCCTTATGCAATGTCATTGTGTGGGTGCCAACATCGCCAGAGATTACACACTCTCCACAAACAGCCAGACTGATGCTACTAAATGGTGAGGAGTGGATACCTGTCTGGGAACTATTCAAATATGATGTGCAGAACTTCAACCGGTAATGACAGGGCTGGCAACTTCCTGCATGTACCTGTCACATTATGGTCCAGGGCCTTCTCCTCTGCACAATGAATTGATCATCTGCTAAATGGCCAATCGCTCCACCTCTGAGCAGACATGCCATGTTCTTCCAGTACCACCATCAGGCTCATCAACATGAGAAGAAGATTCTGCCCATTGTTTCAGACCAAAGCGCTTTTGCAATGGGCTTTTCAAACAGTTTGTGAAGGGCAAAATGCCTGGGTTAGGTGGTGTTTGATACTTCTTCCATCACTTGTACCTCTAGGCCAAAAAATATGAGCACTCCTTGCCTTCCATTTTAGAGGCCTTTTATTGGCTCAGTTATCACCAGAACTTACAGGTCATTGCTTCTCCTTCTCCACAGCTGCTTCCCGAACATCTCCTGAATTTCTGTTTTATCATTTATTTCATTCAGTATCTCATGTACAATATCTCATTTAATTTAATGATTGTTTGACAGATGAGATGAATGCTGAAGATAGCTTCAGACCACATGTATCAAATTCTGCTGAGAAGTAAGAAAGGTTGAAAGATAATGTGTGTTTGAATGTTTAAAATCCATACCTAATATTCTACTTTTTGCCAGTACAGGATTACATTATGCAAGAGCTAAGTACGCTGTTATTAAAAGTAGCACATTGAATTATTTTGCTTATTTAAGAAAATGTTTTTTACATTTTTTTTACAATAGACAAAATATATTTCAACGTTCTATTGGCTAGTTATGGTTGAATAGAGTCTGCATTTTACATGATATATCATCATCAAATTATGCTGATTCCAAATCTGCCAATATATTTAAAGTAACTTAATAGGAATACCCAAAGAAGGAATCAAATATTTCCCTTACCAAATCATTCCACCAAGTAAAAATTGCAATACATTGATTTTTGATTTGTAATTGAGCAAACACTCCCCTTAAAAGATGTTACCATTAAGGATGTCTCAAATCATTTACAGTGTGTTTACATTATTTCACATTGTACACAATCATTTTTATTTCTTCTTTGGGTGAATTATTTGTAATATCAGACATCTTAAAAGTCAAATTGGAAACAACTTTATGTTCTAAAAACAGAAGCTGTTTTTAACAAAGAGATTCGTAACAGATACACGTCCAGCTATCGACTGTCATGCTTTTAGCCACTGGCATTTTTTCTCTTTGTGAAGAAGTTATCTTATTATAATATTTCTGACTGTAGCTGCATCTGAAATTTAACAGGAGTGAATATTTTCACTATTTCACTAGTGTCTCTTTCACTGCATAGTACTATATAGCAATATGTTACTAAGCAATTTTGAAAATAAATGAAAATGGACAGAAACAAATCTAAAGAAGAAAGAAAAATCAGCAAAGAGATTAAATACATAACTTCCGAAACAAAAATATTTCAGGAATGTTGCACACTAGATAGGTAGAGGTTAAAAAATGAATACAAAGGTTGCAGCTGTTCACATGGAAACATGGCAACTCGTACTATTTATAACTCTATGTAAAAGGCAATTCACTCAATCTGTCTGGGAGTTTGTGGTGAATTTGTAATCAGTTTAGAACTGACTTTCTTTTTGAAATATTGCCCAGAACCAAATAATGTCCATGTCAATGTATTCAAGTTTGGTGAAAACAATTTCTCAATGAAGAAATTAAAGAAATTGTGAACCTAATGTTCTACATTTCACAGATCACAGTAAACAGTTAAGACTATTATGGACCAAGATATAAGGCTAAATATTACTATTGCATCCAGAGCCACATCAAACAACTATATAACGAGATGGCATTCACCAACCAAGTTTGTCATTTTCTGCCTATTAGAGAATGAATCAGTTGGATTTAGATTTTTATTTTTAATGTTTTATTAGTATTGAATTCAAAATTCGAACTGTGGTATTACGATGGTAAAGTTGCATGAAGGCAGTATTATTTTGCATGAGACATGCCCCTTGATCAATCAATCTTTTGGCCCAGTTCAGTAAATTTGTCATGAATAAAATCTGTTCAGCGATAAACAGTGCATTTTGTGCCATCTGGTGGCTGAACAAGATTGAATAAAATATCCAAAACTATTTTTTACTGGGCTGCTAAATTAAGGGGAAGAAGGAAACAATTTAGCACATTCTTCACGATGAATTCATTCTGCATTTGAAAGCTGTTTGTATTTTTTAATAACAAGTTAAACTTTCTAAATTATAATACTTGCTGTATTCACGTTTTAAGCAAAAAATGGTGTGGAGATTTTCACTCTATCCTTTGTGCTAGTCTTCATTAATATGCACATATTAAGCAGACATGTTCACAGATCTCAGCACATCTCAGATAATGTTTCAGTTCTTAACATGTTTAGATAATCTCTGCTATTGCTGTTTTTGTAAGCTGAGAGTTATTTCTTTGAGATGGGTTAATTCATTAGTTAAAATGAATAATCAGATATTTGTATTTGGTATGAAGTTTAGATCTAAGATAAATTACATCTAGTGCACAATAATGACAACAACCAATATTTATATAGCATCTTTAACATAGTGAAACACCCCAAGGTACTTCACAAGAACATTGCAAGAACACAAAAATGCTGTTTGTTTGACAAGTAATGTAGGAAAACCTGTATACGATTTGTCCTACAACCTACAGTTTCAAAATTGCATAATTTCAGCACCGATAATCAAATATGTAGTTTATATTTAAATAAAGCTTATTTCCAAAATTAATGCTCAAATTATTGAGAATTGTTAAGTCTTAGGAGGAATAAAGCAGTTTTGGAAGTATCACAGAATATTCTAATAGCTGCATTTACTGAGAATGTTACATGAAATAGTTAGTCTAGAATGCTATTCTTGTAATCATTTTTGAGAGTATAATTCTTTGACAAGAATTAAAAACTGTGTCATTTCAATATTGCTAATGTGTAATTTTTTCACTAGGTCCTCAAGGGATTTCCTGAATGTCTACAGGCAGACATATGTCTCCATCTCAACCAGGCATTACTTCAGAACTGCAAGGCATTCAAAGGTGCCAGCAAGGGCTGCCTACGAGCTCTGGCAATGAAGTTTAAAACCACACATGCTCCACCCGGTGACACATTGGTTCACAGTGGGGATATTCTCACTGCACTCTACTTCATCTCTAGGGGTTCCATAGAAATCCTAAAGGAAAACATTGTAGTAGCAATTCTTGGTAAGTGAACAAGAAACATGAAGAATCAATAAGTATTTTAGAATTTACATGGCTTTTAGAATGGTAGCCTCCAGCTGCTGATTAGTTGATGCGAGCGGTAATGCTAAACATATGTCTGTAGAATAGCAAATATACTTAGGATTTTGCTTAAATTCTCCCTGCAAATTTTCAATTTCTTACTGTGTTCTATATATACAGAAAAAAGCATCAATTAAGTTGAGATAACAAGGTGTAGAGCTGGATGAACACAGCAGGCCAAGCAGCATCAGAGGAGCAGGAAGGCTGACGTTTCGGGCCTAGACCCGTAATCAGTGAACTTTTTTAATTTGTTGACATGGGCATGACTGAAAAAACTGTCATTTATTACCCATCCTTAATTGGCCCAGAAACATAGTTTACTCACCTGTATCAGAGTCAACCATATTGATATGCCGTGTAAGTCAAACCAGGTGAGTGTAGTGATTATAATGGGTTCAGTCAGGTGGATCTCATACGATATGAGTTCCTGGATTGGGGCTGTTAACCTGGTCCAATCAGGGAGCCATGGCTGACAGATATAAACAGGAGTAAAAGAGGTTCTGTTCATTCTGAGAACTGGCTCTGAGGGAGCCAGACCTATGTCAAGTACGACGCACATGGAAATAAAGGGTGAGTTGGTGACAGGATACCAGCCTCTGTGGAGTTTTTTTTCACTGGCAACAAGAGAAAAAATACGCTCCTGAAGAAATTCGCTCACAACAGTCATCTTTGAGTTTGGGTAAGCATTTCTGGCATCATGCCATTGTTGGGAAAGCTTAACTGATTTGATCCTGCCAATGAGGACTGCACCCATTATTTGGAAAGAATGTGTTACTTTTTCCAGGCAAATGATGTTGGGGTAGATAAATAACAATGAGTAATTCTCCTGAAAGCTTGTGGACCTGCAGCTGTTTAGGTTATTAGAAGCATGACATTTCCTGAGCAGCAGATACTAAAACCTTTCAAGAGTTGACAAATTTAGTTAAGGAAGATTATGATCTCCAGCCTCCTCTACTTCAGAGACACTATCAATTTTACTCAGCAGCTCAAGAACCAGGAGAATTCATGTCAGGATTTCTGACAAGGTTAAGATGACTGGCGGAGCCTGTGACTTTGGTTTGATCCTTAATGAGATGCTAAGAGACCATTTGGCATGTGGGATTAATGATGCAGTAATTGCCCTGAGCAAAGGTCGCCACCAGACGCTGGTTAAACTCCACCAGGATCATCCAGAGGTGTCCAAAATGAAGTTATTGACGAGAAGTTGTCTGGCGGCATGGATTGGATGCAGACGTAGCTGCATTGGTGGGGCAGTGCCCAGAGTGCCAACAAGGACAAAAATTACCACCACCAGCCCTCCCACATTGGTGGGAATGGCTGGGCAACCCTGGACTCGTGACACATCAACTATACCGACCCTCTCATGGGCTCAATGTTCTTAGTCATTGTGGATGCCTGATCAAAGTGGCTGGATGTGCGTAGAGTTCATTCATCAAACACTGGGATGACGATAGAAAAGCTGCAAGCATCTTTTGCAATACACGGGCTCTTGGAAGTGTTGGTCACAGAGAACGGGTCATCATTTACCAGCAGGGAATTTGAGTATTTCCTAAAGTCGAATGGCATTCAGCATGTAAGGACAGCTCCATACCATCTATCATCTAATAGTCTGGAAGAAAGAACAGTCCAAACTTTGAAGGCAGACTTAAAGAAGCAGCCTACAGCTTCACTCGATACCAAACTTTCCCGGTTCCTATTTGATTATCGGACCACCCCTCGTGCAACTACGGGGATTGCTCTAGCAGAGTTGTTAATCGGGAGAAGACTCCACACCAGGTTAAATCTGATCTACCCAGATCTTGAGGAGGAGCATGAAACGGGCATCAGGAACACCAGTGCCAGACCCAAGTCTCCTCTAAGCGAGAGAGATAGTTTAATTCAGAGGACGAAGTTTTGTTCCAAAACCACGAAAATGGCCCTCCATGTTTGAGAGGTATGGTCAACATAAGGTCAGCTTCTGTGATGTGCAAAGTTCAGGTAGGTGAGGCAGTCCTGAACAAACATGTCGAACACATGAAAGCTGAATACTTGCAATCAGGGCAGGAGTAAAACATACCCAGCCCTCAGAAGAGCCGGAAAGGCTGTCTGAACCTGTATGGGCCGCCAGTATCCGAGGCTGCCTTGGAGGACTTGGACCTGGGAGAGGCTACAAGAAAAATAGCAGGCCTATGTCCCAGGACTTAGAGGGGGAGGAATTTAGTGACTGTAATGAGGTCAGCCAGGTGAAACTCATAGCATCCAATCAGGGAGCTCTGACTGACAGATAGAAACAGGAGTGTCAGAGATTCTGTTTACTCTGAGAGCTGGCTCTGATGAAGCTGGACCAGTGTCAAGCACTATTCTTTAAAAACTATTCAAGATTCCTTTATCTTTCTTAGTATAATTGGGCAGAGATTGCAGTTAGTGCAGTGGTGTGATCTTCCTGCCAGATGAGAGAGATCAGGGAGAAGTCTAGCGTCCCTGACCCCTATGTCTGCAGGAAGTGTGACCTGCTGTGGCTCCTCATAGACCACGTTGTTTGGTTGGAGCAGCAGTTAGACACACTGAAGAGCATGGGGGACAGAGAGTGTGATAGACACTAGTTACGGGGTGGCGGTGACACCACAGATTCAGTCAGATAGATGTGTGACTGCTAGGAGAAGCAAGCAGGTAGTGCAGGAGTGTCCTATGGCTATTCGCCACTCTAACAAGTATACCGCTTTTGTGGAGGGTAGCCTTTCAGGGAAGTACAGCAGCAGCCAGGCCTGTGGCACCATAACTGGCTTTGATGTAGAGCAGGGTCGGGCAAAGTCCAAGGGAGCAATAGTGGTAGGAGACTCGCTAGTTAGGGACACAGACAGGCATTTTTATGGCCACATTTGAGACTCTAGGATGATGTGTTATCTCCCTGGTGCCTGGGCTAAGGACATCTCTGAGTGGTTACATAATTCCTTAAGGGGGAGGGTGAGCAGCTGGAGATCATTATGCACATTGATATCAAGATAGAAAGAGGGATGAGATCCTGCAGAGTGACTGAAGGGAGTTAGGAAAGAAGTTGAAAAGCAGTACCTAGAGGGTAGCATCTCTGGGTTACGTGCCACGTGCTAGTGAGGCAAGGAATAAAAAGATAGGACAGATGAATTTGGAGCTGGTGCAGGTGGCAGGGTTTCAGGTTCTTGAATCATTGGGACCTCTTCTGGGACAGGGGTGACCTGTAGGGACTGGATGTGAACCAACATCCTCACAGGGAAGTTTGCTAGTGCCACTCGGGAAGGTTTAAACTAGAGTGGCAGGGAGCTGGGAACCAGAGAGGCAGGTCAGCAAGTAGAGGGATTGAGGGGAAGGTAGATGTTAGGACTGGTATTTCAAAAAGGAAGGACAAGCAGAGATAGGTAAATGAACACATTGGTATTCATGGGCTGAAGTGTGTTTATATCAATGTAAGGTGTATTATAGGGAAGGCAGATGAAGTTAGTATTGAATCAGTACTTGGGCCTATGGTGTTGAGGCCATTACAGAGACTTGTTTGAGAGAGATCATAGAATCATAGATCATAGAATCGTTCCAGTGTGGAAACAGGCCCTTCGGCCCAACAAGTCCACACCTCAGAACATCCCACCCAGAACCATCCCCCTAATCTAAACATCCCTGAACTCTATGGACAATTTAGCATGGCCAATCCACCTAGCCTGCACATCTTTGGGCTGTGGGAGGAAACCGGGGCACCCGGAGGAAACCCAAGCAGACACGGGGACAATGTGCAAACTCCACACAGACAGTCGAACCCTGGTCCCTGGTGCTGTGAGGCAGCAGTGCTAACCACTGAGCCACCATGCTGCCCTAAATTAAAATATCATTGTCGGGGAGATAATGTATCCAAATCCCAATGGTTCCCACTGGTCACTGAATGCCTCAAGTGTGCTGGTGGATACCACTTGCTGGCAACTTGTAACCACTGGGTGTTCACAGGGATCATTGCTGGGACTGCAGCTGCTTGCAATATGACTTGGAGGAAGTAGGTGAATGTAGTGTGGACAAATTTGCAGATGACGCAAACAGTTTACGGAGAGATATTGATCGGTGAAGTAAGTGGGCAAAAAGTTGGCAATGGAGTATAATATGAGAAAATGTGAAGCTGTTCGCTTTGCAAGGGAAAACGAAAGACGCGAATATTATTTAAATGGAGAAAAACTGCAGAAAGCTGCAAAGTAAAGGGACTTGGGGAACTTGTGCATGAAACACAGAAAGCTGGCACACAGGTGCAGCAGCTAATGAGGAAAGCTAATAGAATATTTTGAGGGGGTTTGAGTATAAGAGTAGGGAAGTCTTCCTGCAACTGTACAAGGTGCTGGTAAGACCACATCTGGAGTGCTTTGAGCAGTTTTGGTTCCCTTATTTAAGCAAAAGCATCATTTAATTGGAGGCACTTCAGAAATGGTACACTCGGATGATCCCTCGTATGGATCTTATGAGCAAACATTAAACAGGTTGGGACTCTACTGACTGGACTTTAGAAGAATGAGAGTTAATCTCATTGAAACAGATAGGCTTCTTAAAGGGCTTGACAGCCTCAACGCTGAGAGGATATTTCCACTCATGGGAGAGTCTAGGACCAGAAGCCATGGTCTCAGAACAAAATTTAAGACTGAGATAAGAACATAGAACATAGAACATTACAGCGCAGTACAGGCCCTTCGGCCCTCGGTGTTGAGCCGACCTGTGAAACCAATCTGAAGCCCATCTAACCTACACTATTCCATTATCATCCATATGTTTATCCAATGACCATTTAAATGCCCTTAAAGTTGGCAAGTCTACTACTTTTGCAGGCAGGGCATTCCACACCCTTACTACTCTCTGAGTAAAGAGAGGGACAGGACTGGCTGCTCAACATGCCAGGGTTTTATTGTTTTAGACGAGATAGAGAGACAGGTAAAAGAGAT